GGAGGTTTAACCAGTTCACTGCTCAATAAAAGTGCGGCAGTAGTAAAGGGGTTAAAGGTGAGTTATCATTACAAACAGAATGTCAGCCGGCCTATAGCACAAATGGAGGAGTGCGCATTTGTGCCTTCTAGCTAGCTTTCTCAGAAGGCATATATGAGTACACCATTGATATGAACACAGGGGCATATAGTTCAGGTTTATCTGCCATCTTTAACAAGGCAAAGATGTGGGTGGAAACAAATTGTAGAGCACCATAGCACACTGGTTGGCAGATGCCTACTGCCTTCGGTCTTCAAAATCCTCTATATAAACACAAAAACCAGTTGCCTGGTTGCTAGCCCCATCATATGCTGCACATTACCTGATTGGTAGTAAGGTTGTCCATCACAATGAAGAGGGATAGAGGCAGTGAGTAGGAAGCCCAGTATTTATATTACAAAGCACCCCGGGTTTTAGGGGTTACCAGGCGTTCTACAGCAAATCAAAGGTGGCATGGTACCTGCTAACCAGTGTAAGTGGTGCTTTACAATTCACTTTCCCACCACAGGTCTGCTTAAGAGTACAACCACTCAAAAGCTTTGCATGTCACAGATTATTTTAACTGAAAACCAGAGGGAAAATTCTTCACTGAACTGATGATTGCTCCCTTATGGGTAAATGGGAAATGCTCTGAAACTGTCAGACTTATATTAGATTAGGTATCACTGCTTGTCTTCTCCTCCTGGTCTACATCAGTTCAGCATAGCATTGAATATGAATTCCTCTACTCATCACATGGTGTAGTGAAGAGTGATCCATTCCCCAAAAAAGCTACATGAAGGCCTTTTGGTGGTGGACTTTCCCCAACTGTCATGTGGTAGAGAGAAAGCAATCTCTATTCATTACTCTGCAGTTTGGGATGCCAGCCAGATCCAGGGTTGGCAACCGTGTTAAATTATAAATGGTCAAAGTAAAAAACAGACTTGCCCATAATAGGAGCGAGCCACCTGTAATGAAAAAAAAATGCATGTTGGCAAAATCACCTACTGTTCATGAAGATAATGGACACCAACTTCAGGGCACAGGGTTATGGAGGGAGAAGAAACTCCTCATAATCCAGCAGAGGAAAGAAAGATCACTGCTTACAAGACACAAGGCTGGGCTGTCTCTGGGCATTACAAGGTTACTGGCACACCTTCTCAGTTCTCTCCTCTTGCTCTAGATCTAACCACCACAGTCCAGATCCAGAACAGAAGGGAAGTAGCTGAGCTTTCAGCAATGTCCTCCTATCACGGCAGACATCTGCTTATAGGAGAACAGTGCTGGATACACTAGAAGTGTTCGGTACCTGGTCTTACTAAAGCTTTCCCTGCTTCCCACAACAGCTGACATATTTGTACTCTCTTCTTTTAGTTAGATACAGTGCACTAAACCCAGGAACACTGGGAGCTGGAAACCGTCACAATGCTGTAAATTAGGTTTTCATAAAAAGATGGTGGCATAGCAACAAGAGTAAGTTTCCTCATAAGTGTGTTAATTTTCCAGCTGTTCAACAGATAGTAGTAAAGTGGAAATGGGATACTATGGATGCACAAGTCCCATCACTCTCTAGGAATCTGTGCAGTATCCCATTTACTGCTGTGCAATAAAAACATCTGTAATGTATCACTATATATTTCTTGAAGACAAAAAAATAAAGTTTTGTTGCTCTTTCCCCTGTCAGGGACCATAAATGGTTGCAATGTTCAGACATTAGTCAGATTTGGATATTAAAAGGTATGGTAATTGGGCAGAGAGTAATACACCAACACTGGGAAAAGGCAGAAAATATATATAAAAAAATCAATATTAAAAAATAATTAGCTGAAATAACTATCATCAGATAAAGTCTCTCACTCTTAACCATACAGCCATAAACATTTTGGACAATTTGTCATGTTTTGGACAGTTGTCACAAAAATTAACATTCTGCAGCTGGTCACCAGAAAGGTTCAGCTCTTATTTTAGGCATGTTATTTGCGTGCAAAATCCTCCAGTGTGCAGACATCCAAAATCCCTGAAATTGCTTCTGGGCACCCCCATCATGGATGTGATGTCAGCAGCCTCAGAATGGTCACTCAAGTGACAGTCTATAGTTTTCCTCTAGGTTATGTAGTAAGCTGAAGGGAGAGGCAGAGTTGGGCCAACACAGACAGTAATAAGCCACTCCCAGAAGAGAAGGCTATGATTTACAAGTAGAGAAGGGGCAGCGTTAGGGAACTCACTCTTTCTGGAGTAGTCATAATTTCTAGCAAGTTCAAAGGCACATGAAAAAATCATCTATGTAAAGTAAGAGCACTGGAAGTAAGCATTTACACGTGCTGATTTTACCAGCATTTGTTTTAGTTGGTGTCAGTGTCTTTATCATATGTTCCTTATTAAAGCAATATGTATAAGAGGGGGTGGAGTCTCATCAAGGCTGTGTGTTGTATGATGCAGTAGGATTTCTTGATTTTGTTAGACATATTTTATTTTTTCCAAAACGGTACAACCAAAACCAAAAAAGGAGACAGTAGCAAATAGTTTTTTCCACTGTATATTTTGCCTGCAGTCCCCCTATATATTCAATGTTACTGGAATGGATCATGAAAATATCAAAACAGTGAACCTTTCTTAAAGAGGAACTCAGAGACAGCACAAGCAAAAGTGCACAACTGGCAGAGCTCTGCATAGTATTACCTTCACTGTGCCAGTAACACTGCAGCTCATATTAAAACCAAAAATATCTAAGAGCACATCCAGATAACAGGTTGTGTAGATTTACTGGTGTTTTGTACTGACTGGAGTTCTGCTTTAAAGCTTGATGGTGTTTATGTGCCTGTTCTCCCAGGAGACAGTCTACTAGGAGGCAGAGTGAACAGCTGTTTCTGCAGACACTTCCAAGAATCAGACTTTGTTGTCTCGGTAGGGATGCTCCAGCACAGAGCAGCTGCCACCCTCTGACAAGGAAATGAGGACCAGCCGTTTTGTGCGTCCTAGCCACACATTATGAAAAGCCTTTACCACTAAACAGTACAGAAGGCTGCCCGTTTGTCAGGCAGCGGATTGTAAAGGGAGGAGATGCATTCACAGCATCCTGAATAGCTAACCTGTTCTTTCCACATGTCTCAGAGCTCTTCTGTCATGGAAAATTTCTTAAACTTGTAAGCTAAAACCACACTTTTTAAACCCTCCTCTGTGCTAGAATAGACCTGCTGTATATCCACATTATCTACTAAATGGGTTTATAAGAGTTTGGTGAGTGCACTTAAAGCTGAACTCCAGCTAAATTCATTACCTGTATTTTTAAATGGTTTTGGTAATACACTGTACAGTATGGGAGAGGGAGAAGAAACACTAGGGGCCAATCAGACTCTGCTGCAGTCATTAGAGTACTAATGCTCTTTCATTGACAAATCAGCATCATCTGTGCGATCTGGCAGGAGTGTCTGGATAAGCAGAGTTTCTGATTTTGACAGGTATGACTCATATATATCTATACATCCCCAACTTTATTTAGCGGCTAGTGAAATGCTAATGGAGTTCAGCTTTAATGCCTGCTGAATGCTCACCAACACCGGCAGTACATGAGCGCCTAGAGCATCTGCTTGGTTGACGCTGATTTACAATTACCCCTTCGCCGCACATGTAACCTTCCAGAGCCCACACGTTAACTCAAGCATGGGCCCAGTAATCCAAACAGTATTATCACTAAGCACCCATGTGTTTTTTCCCCCGGACCTATTGCTGGCTAGAGGAGGCAGATCTTTCAGTAACTGAACCAACTTCTGACTGAAAGCACTTTAAAAACCTGCTGCAACTTTTTTTTTAAATAAACTTATGTTCATTCCCAGGCTCACATGCTGCATACCAGATGTGGAGCGGTTTCTATGCCGTCTAGATTCATTGCAAGTGATGTCAGCATTCCAGGGCTACCATGAGGCAGGCTAGTTGAGGAATGGAAGCTTCCATCAAGAAATCTAGTTTTCTGATAGATTCCCTTTAACTTCTAGGCCATCTAAAGCTCTCCACACATTACAAACGGATTATACATCTTCTTAAGATCCAACAAGTATGTAGTGCAAGGACCTGCCTTATTGGATACAATTTAATTGGATAGTTTAGGTAGGTCCTCATATTACAGTTTTGGTAAATCTAAAGTTCTACCAAAGTTGATTGCACCTGTGTACAGTCAGCTTGTAATGTGTATGATCAGCCTTAACGCTAGGGAAGAATGTTCAAATTTCTCTTCTAGAGAGTGTTCTAATTTTAAATGGGATCTTATAGGGGAAGAGATAGCTTGCAGCTATGGATGTCGATTGCCATCATTACAACATCTCCAATACTGATGAATGTTGGATGCACATTCACCGGAAAACAAGTCAATATTGGGTGCCTAAAAATAGGAGTGGTCATTGGTGTCTTCACTTTCCTGACTCAATATAAACAGATCTTCTTTCTTTCACTAAATATCTTCGTTTTACAATCAGCTATTGAAAATATTTGGGCCTATTATGAAAAAAGGGAATGCCTATGTTGCAATTGGAATCTTTATTTTCTAACTTGGACTTTGAAAACAAGAGGAAGAACCACTGATTGCTATGAGCAACACAAGTTACTGTCTTCCAGACAAACTTTATAGTACTTTAATAAGGCAGAGACACATTTGCTGTGTTTTTGCGAGCGTTTGTTCAGTAGGCTTAGGCCTTTATGCTTCGGTGGCCAGTTGTACATCCCCAAATCATTGCTTTACACCACACATATGGCCTACTCCACCTTTATGCAAGCTACATAATAGCTGAAGTGCAATAATGCAGAGACCCTGGATGCACAGTTGGCCACTGGATGTAAAGGAATGATTTGCATGTCCCCACAATGAGGAATAATCAAACCCTCTATTTTTGGCTTGCAGTGAATGTGATGACAGGTGAATGAACCTCCAGCTTAATGAAAGGAATGCTGTATTTCACAGGGTTTCAGTAAGTGGCTTTTCAGGCCACTTCATTATAATCCATATTCTTGTACTGAAACACTTCATAAAGACCGCTGCTTATCTTAATTGTCAACAATTATGTCTGGTGCACAGATGGCTTTTAATTTTACTATAACGAAGTTAGTCTGAATTGGTTAGAAAGTAAACTGTTTACCCCTAGCACTGGCCCTGGCCTGCAAAAACCGATCCCGATAAATCAATGTCTCGCCTGACTAACTTAAGAAATTGCCATTTTGCTATAGAGAGCAGCATGCTATGCATTTTAGGTTTAGAGCATGGCTGAGACAAAGTGAATTTTCAAGCCCCCGACAAGAGAGGGCAAGTTAATGTAACATGTCTGGAGGGTCAGGAGCAGTCGGCAAAGCACAGCTGTCCCCCTTAATACTGACTGCCAAGCCCAATTATTAGCAAGACTGCTCCTCAACAATATTGGAACAAAAGGACATTTGATCGACATAAAAAAAAAAATGATTTTTTTTTTTTAAATCATTCTCCCTCTCTCACTTCATCACACATTGCAGCTCTGCCTCCTCAAGCCTGTCCTGACTGTGCTGTTATAGTGGGATAACTGTACAGTATTAAAACATCTGGACGCAAAAATGGAATTACAGATAGCCGCTTTTATAAAAGGTTTCGGTTGCCGAAGATATTGTTGGGGTCCACGTAATTCTTGACTGATTGGAGCATGCCGATTCCAACATTTGAAATGCTGTCCTTCAGCCACTGCTTCCTCAACTTGCCCACTGAAAGAGAAGGAGGGAGGGGACAGAAACCAGAAAAATAAATTAAATAAATAAAAATAAATGCTTTGGTATATATCCATGATACAAGCAGCCAATCAATCTTGTGACCATGAATGAATAAACACGGGGTGATAAATGCTTTTATTCAGAAATGAGAAATGTTTTCCTTTATTTGATTTATTGAGCCCACCAGACTATCAAGCTCATTACATTCGCTTTATTCCCAAAGGAAGCCTGCATTCAGCCATCGCCTGCTTTCTCTGCAAACTGCAAAATGCAGATGAGGCTTAGGCAGGGATTATGGGTTGCTTAGCAAATAATGAAATGGTAACTACATTTATTTCCAAAGAACTCAAATCTTAATCTAATGATCTATTAAAGACAAAAAAATCCCCACTGAGGAGGAAAAGTCAAACTGCTCTCTCAAAGTAAAATCTCCTGTGTATTTTCAAGACACCTGAAAAGAGATCATAGTAGCAACATATTTTAGGCTTTTACTGCATTAAGCACTGAGTGTGAAACCCTATTAAAATCTCTATGTGCATCAAACAGCTGGGGACTGGAAAGTACCGACCAATCGTTGCAAACAATGTTATCCGCCAAAACTAGAACAGGACAAACATACGGATTTTTATAAAATTCTTCCCAACTACCTACAGATAACACATACATTTAGTAATAAAAGATAAATCTGCTTTATATCACTGTGTATATTATTAATGTGCTATTTTGCTTTTACTGGCATAGCAGCATAACTCCATGAAACCAACAGCAGACCACTTAAACAATACTTAACATAAAAAGCAAAAACTATCCAAGTTATACCATATGTGGAAACAAAGTTAGAATTGGATGTTATCTACAAAATAAAGAATACCCAGTCTTCTGTGAAGCTTACATAAAGTGTACTAATGAAATGATAATGGAATTTGAAAATATCCTGTTTGATGGTAAAGAGAATAACCCGCAATAAGGTATCTTAATTCTAAATGACACCCATTACACTTCTGCCCGCTAAGAGATTGGTGCTGCCAACTTTGTTGCGATGTCTGGCTTGAGTCAGCACCCATTTCTGGGTCCAAGATGTCAGCCCTATGGTAAATCTAGAGTTTGTAATTCACAGAAGATGACCAACTGCTAGTAGCTATACTTTCACAGAAGTATCCTCTTCCCGCATGCAACACTTTACTACAGAATCCTCCCAGTCTTATATCATCTCATTAAGCAGCTCTGGTTCCATCACTAACATCTCAGTCTACAGGTTCTTTGCCTCCATATGGATTCCTAGATCCAAGATTTATATTTAAAAAACAAACAATTATATGTAATCTTTAAATGACAAACAAATAAAAGCACTACTACTGCCCACCCAGAAACAGGTTGGTCTTGCTTTTACTATACCTGACTGATAAAAGGTGGAAAAATGGGTAATTGTTAAATGTATACCACAGCTCTCTACACTCTCTCATATTAGAAAAATCCATGTGTTATATTTGCACAGGCTGTAGCTGGGGTAAAGTGTGGACAGTATTTGGGAATGTCATTGCTAAGCTTCTTACAAGTACAAAACACCCAGAGGGGAAAGGGCTGGAAGTCGTCAGCTCCAGCAATGAAGTTAAATGAATTGCTTAGGGTAGCCACATACAACTCTTGGACCATGATTAAATTACTGCTGTTTCCAGGGATAAGAAGAAAAGTTATATTTGTTGATTTAACCAGAGTGCGCTAAACCAAACACTGATGTATACAAATACATACAATTGTTTCAGTACAGAAAGTAACACGCCAAAATGTCTTTATCTTACAGGGTTTTTTAAATATTGAGAAGAACGGTCAAAAGTGCAGAACACATCTTTAAACTTAAAACTGAACTATAGATGATATAAAAGACACATTGAATACTTTATTGTATTCGTTAAAGTAGAAAAAAACAAGGAACATCTAATAAGTGTCCTAAGTGGATTGCTGCCCCTCTCTGTATAAATCACAGATGCATTTATGCCGGATATTACACACAGCACTCTACTTCCACTGCTGCGACTGAATTCTGGCTCCCATGCATTGAAGGGATCCCATCGTTCACTGGCCCTTTCCTCTTCCCTGAATCAATGCACACTACTAAAAAAAAAGTGAGAAGAAATTGGTACATAATACTGTATCTATATTGATAGATGACACTTTTCCTTAATTTGGAGTTCTGTAAATTATACTTCCATTGAACCCCAGTGCCAAGTTCACCTTTCAAAATACTATGATAAAGTATCGCACACAAGACACACTATGTAATCAATGCATAGAAATAAAAATTCCACGTTATGCTTTCCTGAATTATCTGTTAATTTCCATGATCAGATTTTTTTTCTTACTTAAATAATCATAAATTGCACGGTATAGCTGAATATACAGCTCTGTATTATAAAGATCAGAAATAGGAGCCATTCCAGATGACGATAAAATAATGACTCATTAAATATAATACAAAAATAATATATTTATAAGTATTTAATAAAATAGAATACAAATTGTATTTTAATAGTCAAAATGTAATTCATATAAAAAAAAAACTAGTGTGATAGATATTTTTTATGCACTGAATATTCTGATGTGAAAATTAAAATAAGATAACAATCTGAATGAATGAAACCACAGCATAATGAACGGAACCTTATATTTGTCTTTACCATGGTCAACTACTGCTGCACAATAACTTGTGATGTATATTATCAACAGGCAATATAAAAGGTTGAAAAGCAGCCATTCATTATCTACATTTTTAAACTGTACCCAGATTGTGAAATTCCAGACTGTGGGTCCACAGCTCATTTATATATTATGATATAAATTGCTTAAAAAATTTGGATAAATTGCATTCTTGGACACTGCACGTGTTTTACAATAAATTGAAAGCACATATTTCTATAGAGTTTATTTATGTACACGGATTCCTGGATAAGTCACCAGCAGTGTACCATATGCAACAGTGTACCATATGCAACAGGTCACAGTGAAACACAAACATGTCTTGTCAGTTGCAGACATAATCCCACCCGTCAGTGTAAGTGATGGAAAGGCTTCTTTACAGGGAAGTTAAAGTGGAGTAGTCTTTGTACTCAATTCTCTGGCCATCAAACTGTCATCAGAATAACTAACGATACTGCCGCAGAGTAACTTTTTATGTCATGTTTGTTTAGGACAGAAGGTAAGGCAGAACACATTTTTTATGCATCTTCAAGATTGCTCTGTTCAAAACTGGAATCTGTTTTTTCTATTCAATGCTAGACTATTTCATCTCTAAAGGATGGAAAAAACATCTCTGGAACAATAAATAGTCTCTGCAAGCAATGCTATATAATAGAGCTGCATAGTAACTGAAAAAACAGTTCTACAAACTTTGGTAAATCCTCAATTATGTATCCCACGTACTATCGGAAAAGCTTACCTAATAGGAGACAACACTGCAAGTATTTTATACAACTCAATATAGTAGTTTTAATAAATGCCTTCCCATTGCCCAGGTATTACATCTTCTACATGCCTACATAGTGGCGATCAAAAGATTATAATTTTTTTTAATACTTAAAAAAACCTACACACACTGGAGGTTTGCCCTAAATATGATTTATGCATGGAGGAACTATTACGCTGCATTTTCCAGTAATGTTTGGGACCATGTCTAGGTTTGGTTTAGACTGCACTTCAGGTCGCCGGGCTGTCTATTTATGTTTAAAATGGTAAAACAAGGAATTAAGAGGATGAA